GAGTGAAGACAAGCTTCCCTAAGCTAAACAGTCTTTCCACGGGCACTAGATGGAGTGGCTGCATTGTATTTGAGTGAAATTTTCTTAACAAGTGGAAATCCCATACAGGTCTGTTTCATGAGTTTGATTTTTAAAATAATTCTGTTGAAGCATGGCTGAAAAGCAATGTCTGACTTTTATTTGTTTATTTTCATAGAATTTTTTTATTATTACTTTTGTCAGATTCAAGTTATTTCTGTGACCACTGTGGGTTTTTCCTTTCATTAAATGAGGAGTACGAACAATTTTGTCCACCTGTGTACTTGTACTTGGTTTGAGAAAAACTGGTATTGTGGGACACTCCTGCAAAAAATATAAAGAATTTCTTGAGAGAAATACATGTATATTTGATTCTTCCAGAAAAGAAGAATGTAAGGATGGGAGTAAATATACTTTACACTGAAATAACCTCATTATGAAAATACAAAAAGTATATACAATTACACTTAACTGTATTTTAATGTGTCAGTATACAACATAAGTACTCCAGAACAAGTGGTGCACTCTTTAACCTTTATTAACAGAACAGACTTAAAAAAACAGCTAACAGGAGTTTATGTCAAACAACTTAGCTATTTCCTCTTCATCATCATCATCATCTTCACTCTCTGTCATACACCCCAACTGTACACCTAGAATGGAGACTGTGGAGGCCATTCTAGTAATCCATTTGGTTTCCCATCTTTTGGAAGCAGAACATTAACCTTTTAGGACACAAATATTACAATAYCAATGTACAAATATACAAAATCACAATGATTTAAACACAACTTTAAAATGATTTAATAACTTATTATATGTGGAAATATAATGTGGTCTAAAAGTGTTTTTTTGCAAATAAGGAAAAAATGTTTGCAGCACGAATTTCTAGTACAAAATAAACRTTAAATTAATTGAACTACAGTTATACGGTAAATGTAGGATTAAATTGTGTGTTTAATTGGATTTTGCAAAGTTTATGTTTCCATACAGTCTGTCTGTCCTGAAGCAGTAGCACACCTGGGATTTATTGTTTGTGTGGAACTGAAGCCRGCTTTAGTTCTTCCCTCAGCTCATCTCTACCAAACAGATTTAATGTGAAAATTGTCTGTCCCAGTTCATCCTGCACAACAAACTGGTCCAGTAGTGAGGAGAACAAAAATCCAAACATGGAGGACCCTGTGTGAAAAAGTAAATGCTCCTTTGTGGTTTATCTGAGTTTCATTTCCCTGTCCACACCCAGGTCAGATTACTGCCACACCTGTTCTCATTGAAGAAACCACTCAAAAAGGACCTTTTAGCTTTCTTTATTTTAATCATTATGATTATTGTTTATGATGGTGTGATATGTGTTGTTTTTATGGGGGGCATCAAACAGATTATGTAAACAAAATTTCCATTTATATGGACAATAAAGTTGAATCTTATCTTATCAAAAAGTAGTATGTGCAAGTATCCATTAAGTATACAAATTTTAAACTTAAAATAAAAAAGTATACTTCCAGTTTACTTTTTATCTACTTATCTGAGATTAACCAAGTTTATCTTACACTATACTTGGCTTGTACTAAAAGTATACTAAAAGTTTAAGTATACTTTGTTTATACTAATGTTTAAAC